GAATATTGTGGAATATTCCTACGTGTATCGATCAATGAGAAACGAGCTAGATGGCATTAACCATGGAGACAGGCCTCTCCTGCACTGATGAAGGTTTAAAATGAGAGCTTACAGTAGATGTAAGAGAAGTTCACAATTATTACATAAATTTTACAATTTAATCTTCAATAAACAGAATGTATAAAGTTACTTCACATATAAATAATTTGAATAATGATGAAACAGAATAAATATAGCCATAGATGATATCGTTATAAGAATTCCAAAATAAGTACATGAAAACTGCGTCATCAAATCTACATAAAAACTCATGCCTGAAAACAAAACTTCTAAATAATTTTATTAGATTAAACTTGCCCAAAACGATATTCAGATTTACTGTCTGTGAAAGTAAATTACATTGATGGAAAAAATAAAAAAAATAGAAAATATTATGTTTTTATAATTTACTTTTATTTTTAATATAAATATAATACAGGTTCGCTACAGATCAATAATTTAATACACAGCATTATTTCCATTCTATATGCATTAAAGAGTGATAGCGAGTAAATTAAATTTTTCAATCTGCATCTTTTATTAATATCGCATGCTTAAGAACATCATGTAGAATGTATCATAGCGTGAATATTTCAATTTTTAACGATAATATTCATTCTTTGTTCTTATATGAAGATGAATATTATATTTCACATGAATAATTTAATAAATAATAGAGTTCATTAACCTAAGGATTTTTTAGAGTAAAAATAATATTCTTTTCTGACAATTGGTATTTTTGATAAAGTGTATGTTGTTCATTTTTACTTCCGGTATTCGAAATAGAAAAATATTTTTGTGCATATATAAACGGGAAATAATTTTATATTAAACGAACACCTATATATATATATATATATATATATATATCATTAATAATAGAAACATTTTCTTTGAAAGTGGCGTTAGTCTATTTTATATTATACGGAGATATTTACCGCTTTAAAAGTAATTATATTGGTAATTTCATTAATAATGCAAGTTTATATTGACAAAATGATGAAAATATTCATGAATTTTTTGTGGAAATATTCATAGGAAAAAAGCTTATAGCAGATAGTATTCAATGTTATAGCAACTAACTTTTTATTAAAAATTGACTTGCACCACTTTCACAAAAAACGTCTCGATCAATGTGAGCAGGCTTTATGTTTCATTCCATGGTCACGAATTTTTATAATTTTTTTTATTTTACGTTCATAATTAAATATTTACGCCTATAATGAAACGATACTTGATTTTCAAAATTAATTACAGAGGGCAATGTATGGAAACTTAATATAGTCTATGTAAACATCAAATAGTTTAAAAAAAAGGTAAAAATGAGAGCTTTTCGGTAAAAAATTGATTGTTTCTATCAAATTACTAACGAAATACACGACGATTTCAGGCTCGATTTCAAATTTGATTATTCATACTAAGATATTCACCATTTTTTTAAAATCATGTAATAAATTCAGTTTCTTTTGTATTCAATGCTCATCTGATAAAAAAACCGATCATTATTGTGGAGATATAAAGAATTAAAATTCTATTTTTAAACAATTTTTGTTTGAGGAAAAATTACATGGACAATAACTTATTTTTCCTTTAAAATATAGTACACCAAATAATAGAAATATGATAAAAAGAGTTGCTCTAGAACATTTAAAAACTTGCAAGATGCCTTTATTAATTTTTTAATACCTTGCTTAATTTTTTAAATGACTTTTTTTTTCTCGACTCGTGTATACATATTACGCTCTGGAATTTTAAAATGATGTTTTTAGATTTTTTTAGTTTTTATTATTTTCGTATAATTATATTTTCATATATTTCATCCTTATTTTTTTTCAAAACACGCTAAGAATTAAAATGCCGTTTTCTGAAATATTTCTTATATCACCATTGCATGGACATTAGTAGAAAACGACGATAGGTAATGAATAGTATGAGAGTGATAGTGTTCGTTAAATGGCTATTTTTTCACATTAACTTTGCTTGCAGCTGCTTATTAGGAGTTCTAAGAATGAGGTAAAATCTATTAAATAAAAATATGGAATATTCATCAAAACCCGTACCTGAAATTATTCCAAGAACAACTATTTTCTTAGGTTTTTCTGGTATTCTTAATTATTAATTTTGCTGTTGTTACTAATGCTACTTGTAAGACGATGTCCGATCGAGGCCTACGAAATTCATCGTGGCAAAAGGCTAGATGTATGCCTTTCGTTAGCCGTAGCTTTAAGCTCCATATAGGTGACAGTATGTTTTGGCTCGGGTCCAGCCCGAATTTTGAGGGAGAACACCTAAGTGGTGGTCAGGGGCCTCCCATTTCTCTGCCCCTTTAACAAACCTCACGAGAGGATTTAAGGCTTGACGGCTATTTAGAGTATCTCCATACCGCAAAGGCACAAAATATTTTCAAACATCCATGCCTTCTCCGGGGTTCAACCCAGGCCAGGCGGAATAGCAGTCAGCATCACTAACCACTGAAGATGATGGATGACAATTTTTTTTGCTTCTGAAATATGTTCATAATTAATCTGGTGTAGTAAAAATAAGCATGTTTACTGAGCAGAATTTCAAACGAGCCTACTTCACATCTACTTTGTGACCCAGCTAAAGGTGTGGATGGAAGTAAAGGATCATTCGACATGATAAATTCCAATTATTTTATTTATCACTTTAATCGACTCAAACACAAATCAATTTAACTCTTATAAATAAGATGATTTAGTCAGACAACAGGGGGAAGAGACGAGAGTCGCGTTTGGGGATAATGCATTACATAACCACTTTATGATAATGGTTCTTCCCTAATATTACTTCACACAGTAGATATGTACTTAATGTCCACTTAACGACTTTAATACTTTAAATATCAACGTAATAGGAAGGTGACAATACTTGAACTTATGCAGTCTTCTAATCAATATAATTTGTCTTTGACACTTCCTGACTATAACTTTTACAAGGACTTTTTAACCATTTAATGGTAATCTTCACCTTGTATCTTTCTTGTCATCTTTAGTTAACTAAACGTCTAACCCTCAAACTTTATGTTAACTATTCTCTTCACTTCTAATTCACTCCCTTTCTTAACTCGCGAACAAGAAATATGTATAATAAAAATTTGCATATCACGTTTACTTCTTAGGAGACGATTGGTAAATTTTGCTGGCCCCAAAGAATACCCAAGAAGATTGTTAGAGGAGGTCGCGTATAGATCCGTCACAAAATTAACTAAAAAGTTCACGGTTAAAAAAAATCCAAGGTAACATTTTCAATTGTATAAAACCCAAGGAAAACATTTCATTATTTTTTTAAAAAAATTAAATCATTACAATTTTAAATACTTTGTTCTTCTTTCTAAAACGATCCACTACCTTCAAAAAACAGGATGGAAGTTATCTTTTTGAAATTGAGACTAAATTATCCAAGGCATCAACGAAAAAATTATTCTACATCTTTCATGTAATCTATGTATGATCGTGATGTGTTAGAGGAAAAGTACTTTTACTTAACTCTCTTAATATTTTTAAGGACTAAAATGAATGGAGATAATTAAGAATAGCGTGTGAAGACGTTTAACCAATGCACGCAACCTGTTGTTACAGTTTTTTAGTTCTTATTCATTACCTAATTATTTACGTTGAGGTTGTTAAAACTGAATAAAGAAATATGATATGTTGCCTTAGGTGACATAACTATAAGCTACATCGAATGTTTGTAAAGTAACAATGTATTTTAATTGTCGTCTATCTAAAAGTAATCATTATTTCTGCCAAAACTAATGAAACGTATCCAGATTTTCTTTTTAAAAAATATTTTACTTTAATTTGAAATAAAAGTAATATAAGGTTGAAATGTTTCCTTTGGTGTATGAATTTAATTTCAATAACGAAATCTGAACAAGTTTTAAAGGAGATATGCAATATTTACTTTTTTCTTCCTTATTTAAAATTAAAATGCACTTATGATTTCAAATATAAACTTGTTTTTGTTATTCCTCTCAAACATAGTTTCTAGTAGGTTTGGTCATTAAAGAACGGTGGAGTTAGTCTTATTCTAATTTCTTCTGAGCCTTCTTTTGAACATAGACATATTCAGGGGAAATAAATGAAGTTATTCCTACGAGATTCTACCTTTTATTGATTATTTTTTAAGTAAATGTATTAAACATCTAAAAAAAGAATAATGGTTGTGTAAATGATAAAATTTCGAAAATATATTTTAAAATACAAAAACGTATAAATAAGCTTTAGCACACTATACAGACACCATTGTTTGATTTTTAATTAATGTGATTTAAATTTATTCACCATCAAATAATTTGCATATGACTTGTTCACAGCTAAATTATTTTTCCGAGTTTCTTCACTTTTATCTCCTGTACAATAATAGAAATCAAAATACCTTTTAAAAATTACAGCTCTAACGTTCCTGATAGTTTCTTATTTGAATAATTAAGATACCTTTAATAAAAAAACAAAATTTAAGCAAATCAATGTAACATTGATAACAATTTGCAGAAAATAAGATTTTTTTTGGTTGGATTATTACTCTAAAAGTATGCATAATAAGTGTTCCTCGTTATTTTTAAATAGGTATTGTTGTTTTTCTTTAATGTATTGTATAGTATGCATTTTATACATGTAGTCCGATTTAAAAAGTAATACTTAACAAGTAATATAAAAAAAAATAAGTCAATTCCTGCTTAGGTCAACAAAGAAAAAATTTATTTTAGTTACTCTTTATTAAATGATTGTAATTAAAATAAATATGTATATACCTATGACAGAATCTCAATATTAAGTGACAAAATAGAAAGCGATTTTCCTTGCAATTTTTTATTTTCCTTTCGATATAGTGTGTTAGACTGTTTTTTGTTTGTTTGTTACTATTTATTCAATGATTAAATTTAATTATTTTAGTAAAATTATGTAGTAAAATAGAAATCACATTCTCAGAAATTAGGCCATCCCAGGTGGAATTCGAATCCACGACCTTTGGATTAGGAGTCCAACGAGTTATGCATTGTGCTACAGGGACACAACAAACAATTTTCCTTTCTATGTATGCTGTTGGATTATTATTTTTGTTTGTCGCTATTTTCATTTTTTAAATTTAATTAATGAATTAAAATTTGAAAAAAAACTGTAGTAATATCAAGTGTCATCTACTACAAGTTTAAAAAAATGTATTTGATCTTGAATGGAGGAATATAAAGTATTTTATTAACAATTGAAAATTTGAACAAGATATATATATATATATATATATACATAGGGATAGAGTGATCTAATAGTAGGAATTGAAAAAACAAGTCTTAAATAATATGAAAAAAAAACTGATACACAGTTAAACAGTTCCCATTTTACAAGTAAAAAGTGGCCGGCGTATCCTAGCGGTTGTGATCACGTGATCATGTGGCTGGCCACATAACCCTAGAGTTCGAGCCCTTGTGCATCTGATGACCTACTGGGTAGAGGGGAAGATGCCGTTTAAATCTGTCCTGTTTTTCAAAGTAATACGATTGGTGTGGTGTGGTAGTTTGGCGAGGGGGTGCCTATTCAGGTGTCTTTCTCGCTACTTGACCGTTGTTGAAAATTTTGAGGTTGTAAGGAAATATTATTCCTTCCTCCCTCTGACCAGGCTAAATGTGTGGGAGCTACTAATTGATCAGACGACATGATTCACTAAAATTGTTTATTTGTCACAATATTCAACACAGACACAATAATAATCCAATTAAGATAAATTTGGCCAACGCTTAGAAGACTGAAATGAGACCAGATAGCGTGGGGATAATATTTACGGACATTCAATTATATTCCTACGGTAATTTATACAAGCTCGTTTTTACCTCGGACGCGCACTAACAATTTAACTTTCTAACTTCTATTTGAATAATGAGCACAGTACCTGAACTCTTGTAATTCTTTATCCTTTAGATGAGGCATTGAACACTAATAGTTGACTTGAGCACTTCTTAGTGATTCCAATTTCACTCGTCCTACACTGTTTGCATACTACAGCCGGATTGCTCGCTTCTCATTAATTCACTTCACATCCGAGCTATCCTCAGTTCAGTAAACTTCAATTCTCACTTCACTAAATCTTTAAAACTTGCGAATACAGAATATATATGTTAAACCTATTTTGCATAATCACTTTTTCTTGCCTTAGATGAAAGTTGTTGTTGTGTGTGTGTGTGGTTGAAAGAATTCTTTCCCTAAAAAAAACTCCAAGGAGTTAGTGGAAGGAACCGTATAGATCCATCACAAGGTCCATCTTCGATAGTTCTCGTGTTGCTTTAGAGTATGGTTTTAATAAACATTCACTCCTCTTTTACCAATCAGAATATTATAGTTTAAAATTTAAAGTTCTTAATTTATGAACATTTTTCAAAAAAATTTCCAATGCAATCAATTTAATCATTTCCATCTGTTCAAATTCAGAAAATTTGTCTTTCAGAGAAAGTCCAGTCTTAGGTGACTTTCAAATGAAATTGGATGGTAAAAATCACACACATTACTAATTTTCTTAGATATCATGAATTCCTTTTTATATCAGTTATACTACTGTCAGAGATATGAATTGCATATCACAAAATCAAATTCAAATTATTCCACAATTTTTTTCTATTTCTCACAATAATCGAATTTTGATACCCCAGAATTCTTTCTTTTATCGAAAAGTTATCATTCTTCCATAAAACGCTTCCGACGCAAACTGTCACATTCAGTTTGGAAGAGTTTTCATTCTCAAATGACTATCATTAAGTACAGATGACGTATAGATCCTAATGGAAAAAGACGTGTTTGGGAGATATGTGAATAAGAACTCAACATTTGGTGCTTTGGCTATGAAAAAGGAAATTTTGATGGTTATTGATCAAAGTGGAAAATAAAACGCATTTTGGCTTGGGAAATCAATAAAAATCATTTTCGGAGTCAGTTAAAAAGTTGATGTCGAAGAAATTTAATTTTCTCGTTAAATGAAGGATAATTAAAAGGGAAGATATGATTGTTCGTAAGAGGGCTCGATGTTCGTACCCATGAGATGAAAACTTTCGAATGAGTTCATTCATTGCGTTATGATAGTTACGATATGAAGAAAATTAGAAATAAGAAAATAAACTTTATCTATTAAAAGAGCAATTTGGAAATAATTCTATCACTTAAGAAGTCAGCTGAAAAGTTGCACTTAAGGTATCCGGCTATCCAAAAATTGTCAATTTTGCCAAAATATGATAATTTTTTTATGATTTTATTTTTTGATGATCATATATTATTTAATTTTTATTGAAATTTTATTATTTTGGATAGTTCCTTTGCAGGTTGTGCTTGCTCTCTTCGGACTTATTACACTATTAAGTCGAAATAATGGCTTTCTTTACTCTTAAGGTATCCGACTACCCTAAAATTGTAAATATTGCTAAAAACTGACAAATTTTTTTATATTTTTATTTTAAAGGTCATCTTATTAGCTTTATAAAAATATCATGTTTATTATTTTCCGTTCACAAGAACAAAAACTACAAGTGTTTTAGAAAAAGCAGATGCCATCACTTTAAGTAAGATGTCATACTTTAAAACGCGTTTTACTCAAAATGTTTTTTTGTTTTTGTTTTTTTGAAAATGCTTAAACGGGGACAATGATTGCTCAAAAAGTTTTGAAAATAATTAGCTGAAATTTTTTATGTATGTCCAGTATAATAGTAGAAGTGTTTTAACCTTCAGATGTATCAATCACTGCTTTATTACAAAATTTACAGTCCTTTATGTGAATATAATCACTGTTTTTTTAAGCAATTCATATAATAAATAAGATAAAGTGCTATAGTTTTTGTGAAAATAAAAACACCTCTTATCCTGAAGGTCTTTTTAAAAATGAATAATATAGCAACACATCAGAGAGAATTAAAAAACTGACAATTTGTTCATAAGTGTTGGGCACAAATTGGAAACGCGCGCATTTATGTTATTTTTTGTAAATTTTTACCCATTTTAGTAATAATAATTTCTTTTTATCATTTTAATTTTAGCGTGTTGTTGTCGCTGCTAATTCCACCTGTCTGACGTAGTCAGATAGTGGCCCACAAAATTCGTCATGACATTGGGCTAGATTGCATGCCTGCCGTTAGCCGTAGCTTTGAGCACCATGCAAGTGAAAGTACGATTTGGCTCGGTTCCACCCCAATTTTGAGAGAGGACACCCTGGGAGTGGTCAGGGGCTTCACACCTCTCTTCCCCCTCCACCAACCTCACGAGAGGACTTGCGGTTCGACGGCTATTTAGAGTACCCCCATGCCGCTAAGGCACTATACATTTACAAACATCCACACCTTCTCCAGGATTCAAACCCAGGCCCTACGGCACAGCAGTCAGCGTCACTAACCACTATACTGGATGGGCGACTAATTTTAGCGTATTTTTCTTAAAATGTAATTGAACAAATTTAAAAATTACAAAAAAAAATCCCTATATCTCTATTTTTTAAAAAAAAAGCTGCCACAAGTAGTCAGATACGCTCAATTTTTATGAGAACAAATTTATTAGATTACCAATTAGATTAAATCCAGTAGGTTTAAATTATCTGCTGGCTGGAAGTCATAAGTAGGAAGTGGTTGATAATTGTACCTATTTTTGCTCAAACATTAACATTCTAAACGACATTGGTGCTGAAATCAAAAGACATATTATTACTTCTAATCGCTGTTTTCTTCAGGGACGTCTTAAGGCAAGGGCCCCAGGGCGGGGGGCCTTGGCCATAATAGGGGCCTCGTCTGGTCCTCGACTCAGCCTTAATAAGATCATGATTCGTAAAATTTCAACGGTCAAATGTTATTTTTAGTTGCATTCTCCAAAAAACTTATAAGTTCGGGTGATATGCCAACTAATTACAAGTGATGATAGTCGTCGATGAGAAGGCCTAGGCTTGTCAGAGATTAAAAACCGCTACCTATGGATTCGTAAGCACTTAACATACCATTAGACAAAAGTTATTACTCCTCCCCTTGGGCTGTTATTGACTTATTTATACACCGCCACAATACTCCCCCAGTGAGTCGGTGGATAGGCGAACGAACGATATATTTGCTGTTATGGTGAGCGTATGAGTTGTTACTGTTGCTCAAGTGAGTCTGAAGAATTTGCTTGCTCTTCTTGCGGGTAGATGGTGCCACAACTCATCAGATGGCTTGCGTTTTTTTTCAGTCATGGTCGCCAATGTCGGAGATTAGAACTCGAGACCTATCGACTCGTAAGCGCGTAACATACCTCTAGACAAAAGGGATCAATCCTGTCCGGTGGCTGTTACTGGCCTATACCACCACAGGCCTATTACCATACACCATCATTACTCATTCAGTCAAAAGGTGGCAGTCGGTCGATTCGGTTTGTGTGATTGTAAGTCATACACGTTTTTTTGTTTCAGGTATATACGAGTATTTGACAACGAATGTTATGCACCGTCTACTTTTATGGGTAATAGGAGGGGACCTATATTTGTGTAGCAACTCATGACCTACTTTTCGTTAAGGGCACATGGTCTACTTTTGCGTAAGGCCTAGGACCTCAAGAAGTCTTAAGTCTTCCCTGGTCTTCATGGTCTAAGAGCTTTCTTAACGTCAAAATTAATTAAAAGACATACAAAAATTACTCGATGTAAAACAATCATCAGACCTGTACTTACCTGGGGATCTGAAACTTTGACTTTGACTAAATCAATGACTGGACAGCTTGCTATCTTTGAGAGAAAAAAGTTCTTAGATATATCTTTGGTGCTGTAAATGAGAACGGATTGTGGAGACAATTTTACAATTTTGAATTATACATGCTATTTAAGGAAACAGATATCATTAATTACATCAAAATATTGGTCATTTAAGGTTTGAGGGCCACATATACCGTCCTTGGAGTTCAGAAATTTATATTTCAATTTTATGGAAATAAAACTAGGGGTATGCCAAATTTGAGAGGGGCTGATTGTATGGAGGAGGATTTTAAAGTTTTAAGAGTAACTAATTAGAGAACTGTCGCTAAGCG